ATTCTCTTCCCTCCCATCTCCTTGGACCCTTCACTGAAAATGGCCTTGGTTCTATACAATACTACTTAGCAGTAACTACTGACATCTATGTGTTATCATTGTTTTTCTCCTAGAACTAAAACAGAACACCATATCAGACACTCTCAAGAAAAAAATTCCACCCTAGCCTAAGCTAAGATGGATGTCTAAGTAGCTGTCTTGCATTCTCTGAGAAAGGCATGAGTCCCACCAAACCAAAAACATTAGATATCTTCTGTTATGTGCAGCAGCAATGACCACTGTGATGTAGTTAACAAGCTAATGCTTATAAATGAGACATGTATTTTTTGCCAAATTCTATGCATGACAAACAAGTATTCTCCATTTTTGAGTTACCAGAGGAAGAATGAATATCAGATCTGATAACCTCTAAATCTGGTGTTATCTATCTAAAATGTCAGTTATTCATTTTTGGGGGGATAAAACACAAAAAAGAGAGAAAGAATCTGAATCTTCTTCTGCTGTTCAGGACTTGAAGGAATTACATTTTAAAGAACTACAAACCAGAAATTTTAGAGACATGGTTGATGAGAAGTATTAACCTAAGACATGTTGTGCCTTAATAAACTTTGTAACCAAGAAAACATTCACATTTAGGTCTAATGAGTTAATTTGTTGAAGTTGATTCTTTTTCAGTTTTCTCTTAGAGAAAGAAAGATGCAAGAATAATTTCCTTTCTAAATCTTTAATCAGTGTATTACAAATGAAAAGGCAGATATCAATATATCTGTGAATTTGGTTAGAGATTTGAAATGTGTAAGTTAAGCAGAGAGCAACTTCCTAGACTTCAGAATAAAACTTCTCACATACACATTAGTTTAGCACTTTTTCTAGTGGTGAAATTCATACAGTTTATCTGATAAGATCTGGCTATGTGTTATCTCAGAAAAAGTTGCTGCAAATAGGTACAATTTTAGAGCCACATGTGACCCCAGAAATATCATCAGTCTCAGCACATTTTGTATTTAACCATTTCTCTCCTCCAAGTAAGTCTTGCTAACAAACTCTTGAACAACACGGAATCATGATCATGAGAGGCTGCATTACTTTCTAATCCAAATATCTTGGTTTATGTACCATGTCATTGGGTAGCAGCCTCCTATATATCCCCAGAGTCCCAAGACCCATGATTAGGTTTTCCTTCTTTACAACCACCTTTATCTTCTTCATCAATACCAGTAATCAGCAACATCAGTGATGAGCTTGAGACCGACTATCAATGTCTCTGACAACCTTGCTTCACAGTAACAGGCCAGTTCTGCTCCAGATCACACTCATTTAACAAATATCTATCAGCTACTGATTATGGTTGTAAATGAAAGGATTATCAGGTGTTTATGGCTGTTCAATGCAATCTGTATGCTCTTCAAAGCAGAGTTTAGTTAGCTGTGCTTTAAAGCATGGGCTGCTGGGTAACCATTGGGATAGCTTCAGCTCTGCATTCTCTAGAATACAATTCCAGCAGCAAATTGGAAATATTGACACTTTCTTATTCTAGGCCACTTAAAAAGTATATTCAGACACTGAATATGTAAATCTTGTAACTGAGTAATGCTCAGTACGATGTATTTAAGAGAGGTTTCCTAACATGTCACCAATACTTACTGAGCAGGATGTGGAAACTTTTCTGCACTGGGTTCCCTTGTCTTCTCTACACATAGTTTCAGAGTTAGATAAATGTTTTATAGTTACCTATTTAGCAAAAAAAGTGTCTGTTCCGATCCCCAAGTGTAAGCAACAGGGAGGAAAAGTCAACAAAAAGCAAATTTGGCAGTAGGTAGTTCTGTCCATTTTTTGCCCTATGAGAAGTCCCCCACCATCTACAACAGAGGTGTACACAGTGAAGGACGTGGAGCAGATGCGCTCCCTAACAACATTAGGTCAAGGACATCTTGGAATTGCAAACTGTCCGTGACTTGCCTAGGGTAGGAGTGAGGAGAGGAAAATAGGGCAACGGAAATCAGAATTGTGTGAACAACAGAGTTTCTGTTGGGTGACCCAACTGAAAAATCAAACAAAAAAATTAATTTGGAGTCAGCCCAAAGCACTCATCCAACTCAAAATGAAACAGCTCATTTTGCTTTCAAATCTCTTTTTATCACTTGAGACAAAATGTAAGTAAAGCTCTAAACCAAAGCACTATTTCCAAGCGCAAAACTATTTTCTTTAGAAAACATCAGAATGAAATATTTCAATTTGATTTCCCTTTTCTGAGCTGTAACTATTGACTGAAATGAAACACAACTTGCTTGACTGAAAGAACCTCTTTATTTTCTTCTGGTCAGTAACTGCCCCAGACATTTCCCCTGCTGTAAGGGAAATCCTACCCACCATCCTTCACACATCCAAAAGCCACATGTGTCTTGCAAGAAAAACTTAGTAGGACATTCTGCACATTCTGCTGTGTGACATTTTCAGGGCTCCAACTCATTAGGTTTCCATTGTAGAATCTTTCAGCTGGTGGTTTTCAAGATTAGAGAAGTTAATAAATAGATGAATGACTGTCTTTTGCATCTGTGGACAAATGGTTTGTTTAGGTTGAGCCAGAACATGGAAAGCTCAAGAGATGCATCTGACATTTCTGGATAGGTAGGGCAGCTGAAAAAGAGGGCAGCAAAGAAAAAGTAGAAGAAAGAAGGAAGTTAATCATCCATTGGTAAAGAGATTGTATCAATGAGCAATAGTACAAGTAGTTCTTGATCTAGTCTTTCTAAATAAGGAAGAAAACAAGTATTTCTAGAACAAAGCCATCTTATTCTGTTCAGAGGCATGGCATTACCTTCATAAACTTCAAATGGAGTTCAAACAAATCACACCTGGATAATTCCTTTTACCTTCCATCACCTGTAAAGGGAGCTAGGTGCATCTTTGGGAGAAGGTCATGAATAGACAGTGAGATAAATTCCCTTATTTGTTTTTAGCTTCCTTCTCTTCGCTGTCAGCTGTTGCAAGTTGATAATGATAAGAAAAAGGATGTCAGCCAAGAACTCTTGACAGTATAATTCCTTATCCCACAAGCTAGAAAATAAATATCCTATTCAATATAATAAAAGGTTAAATCCCTAGAACTGTCATATGGTAACAAAACCTGGCTGGCTATCACTGTTGGGTCACTTCTTCCTTGACTGTGAACAAGCATGTAATTCATATGTCATCAGATACAAAAGAGAGTGTGGAGCAAAGCAAACCATGTTGATTGCATCCAGTTTGACAGGTGATGGACATTGTTACCCAGATGGATCATGTATCAGTTTAGAGTGTGAGTTCCTACAAATGTTATTTCAGCTCTCATAAAATTTTTCGATAGTGGGTATGGACAATTGCTTCTGTCTTGAAATCCCTATGGATCACAATCAACAAGGCATAGTTTAACCTGCTTTAATGCTAATTCATTACAGTAGTTGATGTAAGACATTGCGACTACATCTGGTTTAGCTTCGATTTCTCTTTGAGTAATTGAGGAAGCTACACAGGCAGAAATATTTTCCTGCCAGTATTTTTAGTGCATTACAATATCCACTCTTGAGGAGTCTTTAAGATGCCTCTTTAGCACACATTTTAGAATTTGGATTTCCCTAAGATGCTGTGCTCACAAAACTTCACCTGTAGTGCCAACTCAACTGGACCACTTTGGTGACTTTTTTTCCCCTTCTTTTTCCTTTATTTTCCTTTTTTTTTTTTTTTTTTTTTTTTTTTCTTCAAGATGTGGGCAAGATGTGTGCTCTCCTGATGAAGAAATGGTAAAGCCTTGCTCAAGAGGACTTCACCAGTTGCTGACAATCCACAATTACATATCTCCTCTGACTCTTTCACTATTTGGATGCTTTTTGGCCTCTTTAACCTTCATGCAGCCACTAATGATCCTTGATCCTGGGTGTACAAGAGAGACTTGTCTGTCTTCCCAGGGGACACAGCTGAAGGAACAGATAATGACACCAAGCAATTCTCTTCTGAAGTGCTCCCAAATCGATGGTGCTGCTGAGCACTCTTTCGTCTTAGCGCTATGGGTCAGTGAGTTTTCCTGTAGCTTCTACTACTTGTCCATTTATCTCCATCTCATCTGACTCAAGGGTGGACAGTCTGAAACTTTCTGTTATCAGCTGTTCAAGACAGGACCTTACCTAAGGAGAATTACTTAGGCAGATTCAGTGAACCACACCAAAGACTCTCAGGAGAAGTGCTATTTTTCCAACAACTCTTCACAAGAAAGGCTGATCCACACACTTCCCGCAAATCCCTGGCCTATGGTAAGTTGAAATTTCAGATTTGGTGTCCCCAGACTGAGTTTGGATCCTTTCTGAATACAAGAATACAATCATGCAGCCCAGCAGCCCCCCAGGCATGATATGTCACCTCCCTGGCCTTTCAGTAAAAGAGAAAAGCTCTATAAGATGGCAGTATTTGAAAACAAATATATTTATTATAATAAATTAAAAAATAAGCATTTATAAAACAATCCATCTGCATATAAATATTACACGTCAGTTTTAATTTTAAAGTTCACTCTGAAGCCTCTGGTCTCCATAAATACATTCCTGTGGCTATGTTTTAATTAATCTGTATAAATACAAGTACTGTATAATTAATACAAAATTATTACCTTAGAATAAGTTACTATTAAATATGAGCAACAAAACTAATTTACGAATGTCTGAAGTTCCAGCTTTTCAGGTAAAGGTCAGAAGAGGGCAACATACACAAGAGAGATTTTGAAGTCAAAGGCTGAAAACTTCCTGGCTACGGAGCACTGCCTACCTTGGCCAAAGCTGACTCAGAGGTGTCAAATCTCAGCCTATGAAATACAGAAAGAGTTGTCTTATTCCAGTGCGGATGAGAAGGATAGGAGCATGCTTTTGAAAGTAACCAGTGTGCAACACTGAAGTGGAACCAAAAGCACTGCTCTGCAGTCTTCGTTTTCAAAGAAGGCAGCAATATGTATCCATCTCTGCCCACCTGGTTTGCTATTTCTGGTACAGATTAAAAAATGTACTGCAGTTATGGGCAGGATTTTTTCCACAGTAGTTAATCAATTTGGGTAGTAGTAAGAGCTTTTGGAGACATTCCTTCAAGACTAATCTGGGGGTTTTTTTCAGTTTTTCTTCTTGCTCCCTCCCTTCTTTGGGGCATCAGTACAAGCATTCTCTATGTAGTCAAACAGTAAATCCAGTTCTCCGATGGCTTTGTTCTTTCCATTCTCTCCCAACTAGAAAAGAGCAGAACACAGGTTTTAAAATTTCTACATTTCTCAGAAGATTAAAATTAGTCTCATTGAGGAAATTGCATAGAGAACTTACTCTCCTTTCTCATAAGCAGTTCTGTTAAAGTCGTTATATCATAAAATATAAACTAGTTCATTCAGATCCAGTCTAGTATACGCAGTGACTTGCAACTCAATTTCTAAGCGCTAGTTACTACAAGACATGCAGAGAGTTAACACCACAAATGAAGGAACTCTGGAACTGGAAACATCACTTGTCCCCTCTTTAACATCCCTGCAAACTTCACCTCTTACATAAATTCCAGAGCTCGCTTCAAAACTTTGTCAGCTTTAATTTAGCTAAACAACTGGAGTTTTGAACTGCACTTTTTAAAAATAGGGGGAAAATATACCTCTTTCATTTTGCTCTTCATTTCTTCCAGGTTCTTTTCAATATGCTCTCTGTTTCCTGAGTATTTCTAAAAAAGAGAAAATATCCAGAGGTAACATTGACAGCTGCATGTGACAATATGCTGCTTTTTTTTTTTTTTTTCTTTTCTTTTTTTCCCCTTTTTCATACGTTTTTATCAACCTCTAGTTTGATATCTTAGATCTGAGGTTTCCTTTCATATCACTGCCTCTTGCCACTGTTTACAACTATTTGAGATTCGGGAGTAGTGACAAGAATCACAGCCAGGGGAAAGAAACCCAGTACCACTTACACATCTGCTCAGCTCTGAGGTCAGGGATGCCAGAAACTGTGCCACATCCTCAGCATACGGGTACCGCTCCTTGGTCTCTGTGAGGAGGACGTCCTTCAATATGATCTCTGTAATTCTCTTCATCATGTAGCAGCGGTTGTTCTCCTACGCATGAAAGTAAGAGGTCATGTTAAGTTGTGGAAAGAGGCCAATGAGTGCTGCAGAAGGATATGGGATCTGTCTCTAGCTGGGAGACTCACCCTGATGTTGACATAGATTTGCTGACCAATAAATCTATTGTCAGTGTCTTGATCTGAGACCCTGGCCTGAGGGGAAAAAAAAGGAAACGTCAGGTGAGGATTAACAGTGAACCCTGAGGATTCATCATTAACAGTTCCAGTGACAAAAAGAAATGGACACTATAAGCAGGTAGATAAGGTACAGGAAGATAAGCTTGGAAATTTCAGCTGTTTCTCTCCAGAACTGCATAAGAATCAAGGTCACAGGAAAGTAAATAAGCAGAAATCTGAATTCCTGTCCCTCTTGTAAACATCAGAGGTTGTAGTGGTTATGATGACTAAACCAGAACTGCGGGTGGCCATCCTCAGTATCTCCCACAGTGCTGCATTGTCTCCCACAGTGAAACCCTCAAAGGTGTATGTGAGGGGGATCCACACATGGTAGAGATGGCCAAGAAACCTGTCCAGGCATAGAGATGGAAAGCCAGACATGCCCAGCTCTGAGAACAAGAGTAATTAAAGATCATGTCTCACAGCTGTCCCTGTGTAGCAGCAGCCACTCCAGAGGAGCAGAGCAGTTCCCTCGGCCACAACACCGGTGGGCAATGAGACTATTCCTCATGACAACTTCTGTCTTACTGCAAATGTCTGTGGGTTTTTTTCTGGAGAAGTGCAGATGAAGGAGAGAGAAATGATGAAGGCAAGAAACCAGGGCACAGAAGGAGGTCCTCATGTGTTGCCATGAAGGGAAAGTGGGTAACCATACCATTTCAGCCAAGGTGTAGGTGCGATTCCTGATGTAGGGCTGCTGGAAGTTGATCTTTCTGAGGCTGCAGGCTTGATGGGCATTGGAAGCCACCCCTGTCCTTTTTGGAGGCAGGGGACTGGTGAGAAGAAGAGGGAGACAGCAACAGCAGCAGAAAATGACCCATACTGAGAAGCTCCTGGTCAGGGTGTGCAGGGTGGCCATGGCTCACGTCTGTCCCAGAGGCTGCAGTTACAGCACTCAGCACTGATGAGAGAGAACAGTGTTAGCATCAGGGAGAGAGAGCAAGGGCAAAGGGAGAGAGGCACACAGGCTGTAAGCCTTACCTTTGCTGTGATTCTAGATGTGCTCTGAAGAAGGTGAGGTGCGCCTTATATAGGGCTATCAACATCTCTCTCAGCTTTTTTTGGGGGGAGTATTGGTGGTGAATTAAAAATGACATCAGCAAGTCTCTTACTTTCCTGTATCTTCTTCTGAGAACTTCCTAACCACTACAAAACCCACAAATACAACTTCAAGGCAATTGTAATCTTCAGGTTCTTATAAAGTAAACCAACTTTTAATGCAGGGACAAAGCAGGGGCTTTTATTGGGACTGGGATCTTGTATCCTTTTCTCATAAAAACATCTGAGAAGTTCATAGATCTGTGCCTTCTGTCCTGATTGTGCCACACTGACTGCATTGGCAATTCCATGGCAAATATCATATATTTATGCTCATCTTATGTAGTATAAGACTAGTGACCCACTGGAGCTGATGGGTGAACACAAATGGTCAGAGATCGCTCCTGACCTTGAGCACTCTGACCAGGTGTGGTTCTCACCCCAAAAAATCCCTTCCCACACTGGGCTGCACTGGAGCCATGGGCTGTCTGCCCATCACTGCATTTCTCTCTGGGACATCAGAAACTGTATAGGACCAACACTGAATTCATCACATTCCTTATCCTCACATTCCCATTTTCCAAAAAATGATCCATTTTTCAGGTTGCAACCAGGGGTAATAACCAGAGCTGAGGCAATGCACTTATACTTTATCTTCTTCTGTCACATTCACATCCTTCAATTCTCCAAGCCTCTGTCACCCCAGTTACATCCCATTTCATCTCTGCATGGCTCCACAGCCTTTGGAGCTGCTCTTACTCACCCTGAAGCTGCTTCCAGCAGAGCCACCATCACCATGACCCTTTCCAGGACTCTCAAATGTATCCCACCCATTCTCATACCTGGCTTCCAAAAGCAAGCCTGGATTCAGGATGCTGACCACACAGTTCATATGTCAGAGGTACCAAAAGACTATTCAAGAACATGTTTATAAACTCTGTTCTGTGAAATTGCCATTTGCCAGGTGAATAAGCCCAGTGGAGGAGCAGGTCAATAAGAAGATGGGAGGACGCATTATAGGTAGAATGGCAGTGGAGAACAAACTGGGCGGTGAAGAACAAACTGGGAGAAATACAGACAGAGACTGTTTCAAAAGGTCAGGCTCTGAAGTGCACTCCCATGAACTCCTCTTCAAGGGCTAACACAATCTGATAACCATGGCCTGCTTTGAATTCTAAGCTAGGTTTCTCTCATTTCTCTACCAGTTCATCAGCAGTTCATATGTCCCAAGCACAGAACAAAAACCACAAACAGAAATTCTGACCCTTTCCAAGGGGAGCAATAGCCCCTGTCTTGCTCCACATCCTGACCTCCTGAACTTCTAGATAGCACCTCACATCTCTCCGATCACTCACTCTCATTTGACTTGGTTCCAGTTTTGCCTGACCTCTTCTGGTAGTTCTGATCTCATGGAAAGTGTCTGTGGCCTGAGCAAGCACGCACTGTACTACACACATCTGTTCAAATTGCAGTGAGGAGACCACACGGTCTCAGGATTCCCACAGTGATGGATATCTAAATAACATCAGGCAGATGGATGAGGAATTAGATGCTGAATCTGCCTCCTGCCCTCTTTTATGCAGTGATTACAGGATCTCTTCTATCTGGCTTCTCTAGTATTTGCAAATCATAGACTGGGATGTATGTATTTCCAGAGGAAGCATTAAGTCATACTTCATGAGCCTCTCTTCCATCTGTGCTGTCGGAAATCTCTCAGTCACACATCATTGGCTGTGCCATGCTGTCTTCCTTCTGAAACTTGCAAAATGTGCTTATTTCATTTGTTTGCTTTATCTCTGCTGCTCATACTCACCTTTATTTTCCAGACGTCGAGAGGAAAATTAAGTTCTAATTAATTCACACTTCATGAACTTCTTTTTCATGACATTTGTAAAGCCTTTGCATTACTTAATCTTTTGCTTGCCTTTGTGGGTTATAACAACATTGCTTCCTTCTTTCTAGCTTGCTGAGAATATGACCAAGCCCAAAAATGAATTTTCAGAGTCTTTCTGGACACTAATTTTAGCAGTTCACAAGGTTCTCCTTGCACATCAGTCAACAGTTGGACGTTTCCTGACCACTTTTCACCAGTTGACTGCTGGTTCTTGATGTACCTCTGAGTTATGGCACAGCAATGGTCATGTCTGCAGTTATTCCCCTTAGTATGTCAAGATAAGATGTTTGGGAATGGAGATAGGCCTCCCATATCACCAGGAGGGCCCATTTTCATTTTCTTTTTGTGATTTTCTGTAGGTTTAATGTTATTTTTAATATTTGAGGCTACTAGTAGTGTTTAAAAAAACTAATAAGAGAACATAAAAAAATTAGTAAGAGAACATACGTGTTATGGTTCTATTCTAATCAAAAAGAACAAAGGCCTCTCCTCTTCTATAAAGTGTCTTTTGCATTGTATTTCTGAGTATAATCACTTCAAAAATAACTATGAAATTGTTCACAGATTGCATTTTCTTCTCCAAGAACCAAGCATCTATCCCACCACTGACCTCACTAATATAATTTTTAAGCGTAATTATGTGGAGTTTCCCTAATTCATTAAGAAACCATAGCGGTTGAATATTCTCGACAATGACTTCTTGACCCATATTGAACACAGAGGATTTTTTGAGGAGGACTGGAACCCTACATCACGTCTACCTCAAAAGCCACAGGCACTTCCTTCTTGCTTTGAATGAGGCCACAGGTGAATAACCAATACTGTACTTCCATGTTATACTTCAATCTGTGTATCACTAGCACACTGCCATGCAGGAGGTTCCTTCAGCTTTAATACATGTTCAATTAGATGGGTTTGCACTGTATGTTTAGAAACATCCTCAGGATCAAGCATCAAACTGGAAACATTGTCAAGAGCAGAGATGTTGAAGACTCTGCGTTGTCCTCTTGGGTCTTTCACCTGACGAATGTAATTCTCGTAAGTATTTGTACAAATATACCACAGATGACAAAGTGCTCAAAACTGAACAGGCAAAACCTCTGAGCTCAAGAAAGATGCAGAGCTCTTGGAACAGGTCCAGAGGAGGGCAACTAAGGTGATCAGAGGGCTGGAGCACCTCTCCTACGAGGAAAGTTTGAGGGAATTGGGCTTGTTTAATGTGGAGAAGTTTCGGGGGAGACCTCATTGTGGCCTTCCAATACTTGAAGGGAGTGTATAAACAGGAGGGAGTAGGACTGTTTATGACGGTGGATAGTGATAGGACAAGGGGGAATGATTTTAAACTGAGACAGGGGAGGTTTAGGTTAGGAGGAAGTTTTTCACACACTGGTGAATGGATGGGTGGTGATGCTCTGGAACAGGTTGCCCAAGGAGGCTGTGGATGCCCCATCCCTGGAGGCATTCAAGGCCAGGCTGGATGTGGTCTGGTGGACCCTGCACATGGCAGGGGAGGTTGAAACTCAATGATCATTGTGGTTCTTTTCAACCCAGGCCATTCTATGATTCTATGAATCTATCTCCAACTTTCAGGTCACTCTCATCCCCTTCACTTTGCTCCATTATTTACTTAATCAATTTTGGATTACAGTTTTATTTTATTATGATAAATACTTTTAAAATGCAATATCTCATGAATGAGCTAATTCACTGCACTTTATGCAAGCTCTTCTAAGCTAAGATTTTTCTTAGTCTTTCAAGGTTGGAAAAAAGTAAAGCAGACTCTGAAAATATTTCAGATCACAGCAACAGAGTGGCTGAGGCTGGCCAGACCCTCTAGGTACATCTACTCCACTCCCTGCTCAGCAGGGCCACCAGCACAGGGTGCCCAGGTCCATTCCAGGTGGGTTCTGAAGATTTCCGAAGAGGAGACTCCAAAACCTCTCTGGGCAGCCTGTGCCAGTGCTCATTCACCTTCACAGCACAGAAGTGCTGCCTGCTGTTCAGAGGCAAACTCCTGTGCTCAGGTTTGTGCCCATACCTCTTGTCCTTGCACTGGGCACTGCTGCAAAGAGCCTGGCTCCATCCTCTTAGCACCCTCCCTTCAGATATTTGTTCACATTGATCAGGTCCCCCCGATCATCTCCTTCTCCAGACAGAACAGTTCCAGCCCTCTCGGCCTCTCTTCATAGCAGTGGTGCATTGGACTCTCTCCAGCACATCCATGTCTCTAGTGTAATGGAGGCACAGAACTGGGCATAGCACTCCGTATGTGGCTTCACCAGAACTGAACAGAGGTGAAGGAGGAGTGGGGATCAAGGTGATAAATCTCCAGAGGAGCCTTATTTTAGTCAGTTCTCTGCCCAGCAATGAAAACATCAGTAATGAAAATTGATTTTTCTTACAGAGTACATACAGTATTTGAAATTCATATTTTTGCCTGTCTTCATCAAAGGCCTAATGATGAATTAGACAGAGAGAATTTGTTGGAAGGAGGATTATATTACTAAAACTGCTTTGCCTGGGAACGTTAGTTGAATCCGGACAAGACCTCTGTATGGGGACGCGCCAGTTCTCAGAGCAGATACCACTGACTCAGGCATTTTCCAGAGGATGTGCGATTCATATACCTCCCATGACCACTTACTCACTTTTATACAGTGAGTAACATATTTCCTCCGTCAGTAACACTTTTGCTTGTATATCTGGTATTCCATCAAACACTTTTTCTGATCTTCACTCAATTCTGTTACATAATCTCTGCATCTATTACGTAAAGGATTTTATATAGTAAAAATTGTGAAATTGGTATTTCATCTTATATAAAGTCTAAGTGGATGAGAACTAATAATTCACTGTGGTCTCAATTTTCAATTACATTCTACAACAGGTAATCCTTCCTGGCATGAAAGCCTTTTTTGTCACCTCAGAAACAATGACATAGTGGAGCTCCAAGATAAAGCCACCCAAAGTCAAGCTGAGACGACACTATGCAGATGTTTCTGATAGTACTACTGCTACCCCAGGATCACTGATGCTGTAACTTCCACTGCAGTGTCAGGAGGATTCCGTGGTGAAAAAGAAAACAGTAATTAACAGAGCCAGTGGAAGTGCAATAGATATTAGCCTATTGGCTCTTCTTCTGCAAACTGTTGTTGACATCGATAAAACGTGAAGAAAATTTTAGTTGGACTTCCCAGTGGATCCATCATGTAGCCTACATGGATGAGAGAAGAGTGCTGAATCCATCTCAGTGCACACGTCTCCATTCTTCCATAGGTACCACTACTCATCCTTCCACCAAACAGTTCTCCTACTTCAGGGTGTAAAATCAAGCACACGCTCTGTCACTTTGTATAGTGACCTACATATCCAACTGTGTCTCGCAAAGAGTCAGATCAGGTGAACTGAAACTTCTGTGCTTCCTGTTAATGTGGTGTGCTTGCACAGCAGTGACTCAGTGGCATGGCAAAGTGGAATTACTGACATAGTGCACATTGAAGAAAACCACTCTAACTAGGAACAGAATTACGCAAGCTGTCTTATAATCTGAAATTCAGTGGTACACGGCTACTTAGTTTAAGAAATAACCTCAGCATCATGCACCTTGATTTACCAAGTAAAGGCTTATCACGTAACAATTTCACATCATTTTCAGTAATTAAAAATGTTCTAAAAGGAAGCAACAAATTCAAAGTGAAGTGCTTCTACGCAGACACTGCCCATACATCAGCACTTTCTTTTGAGGCTCCTGGAGAAGACCTCAGCTGCTCAGTTACCCTGTACGACAGGGTGCTAGAGAAGGTTACAGCTCCTATCTCCTTAACAGTGGCCTTCTAGTTAGCATCTGTCTCTAGGAAGCCAATAGCCCGAGCCCCAGCCCTTCTCCAGCCCTAAGTGATGCAATTGTCCATCCTCAGGAGAATAACATAGCCAGCGAGTTTCCTGTTGGATTGGGGCTATTGTCAAGAACATAAGATTTATGGAGCCAAAAGGAGTCCCAAATAAAACAACTGCTGCCTAGCACTTAGGATGCTGTTTTCCTGGGTTATCTGTTTTTAGCTGCATACTGTGTAAGCTAAAACGGATAAACTAGCCAGAGCCGGCTTCCCCTGGAAGCATACTGCACACTGCTCATGACAGCGCTCCTCAGGGAGCACGCAGCCCCATACGGCCTGGCAGGACACAAGCAAGGCTTGTCAGGACAGGAGCAGTCTGCTTATCCCCCATCTCCACCAGAGAGCTGGGCACGCAACGCCCCAGGACGGGAAGTGCGCTCCTGTGCGTATGTGATGAGCCTGGAAAGGGACCAGAGACAGGATTATCCCAGAAGGATGGGTTTTCTGAATCCTGTCAGCCATTTCCATCCAGCTTCAATTGGCTGGAGACACCCCAGGACACAAACACAAACCTTGAGCAAAAAGTGTTGATATATATACATATGTACACACGTATAGTATGTGTACACCTCAGACATAAATACAGTTAAAAGGAAAAGCTTTGAGGCCCTTTCAAGAACCTGCATATTTTATGACTTTAGTTACCACAGGAAAGATAAGTTAGAAGAAATGTAATTAGTACATTTACAAAGCAAACGAGTGCTTTGTTGTATTTTTATTCCAGCCCCACACCCTCTCTACAGCTTCTGCTCCCAGTGGGATCGCTGCCACGTGAGATAACACCTTCCTACTGGGTTTCAAAGCCAGACAGGATCCGCACCGAAGTGCTGGCTGTGCCCAGTGGGTTAATGGCAGATCCACAGCCTTCCCCGCTCCTCAGCAGATCTGTAAAGGTCTGAGCAATGGCTGGAGCTGGGGCATTTATTTAGGTTGCTTCAAATGAAAGCTGTTGTTTGAAACAATCTGTTGATTGCCGTGGTTTTCTTAATTAGTAAAACAACTTAAATACTAATTAGAACTTTTTGTTCTCTCTCATTTATGTTTTGCTTCAAACTCTGCTAAAAGTCAGTTGACTAGTGCGTAGCAGAGCTCCCACTTGCAACAGATGGCAACAAAGCTCTTTGCTGACAAAATGTACCACACGGTAAGAGCTGCTCTGACAGCAGAGCATCAGTTGCCTGCCCAGCCTGGCAGAACAGGCAGTTGTAATGAGGCACTATGGCATTATGCAAATAAGAGCACACCAGATTTTTCAAAGCTCTGATTCTTACTTACTTACTCTGATTCTTATCTTCAAATACTATGAAGTAGTTCACTGGCTATTATGGATAGCAGTAGAGGGAAAAAGAAACTCCCAGGGCTATCTGTCAGGAACGATGGTGGGTCAGGTAAAGAAAATATCTTAGTATATGGACTTGAATTTGAATGAAGGATAAAGTGGATGACTGGTGGCTTCACATCCCTTGACCCTTCCACAACATAGGCATGTTTTCAACCTGTGGTCCTTAGGCCCAGGGAAAACTCAGACTACTTGCAAGTATCAGTGAAAGCAAAACCATTATCAGGAGGCTATTACCAACTGCACAGGGATCCAGATAAGTAATACAGAAACACAAGCCTATTTAACTACTTATTGGCATGAATCATAGAGTGGCTTGGGTTGGAAGAGACCTCAAAGATTACCTAGTTCCAACCTCTCTGCAGCAGGCAGAGCTGCCAACCACTTGATGTAAGTGCTAGATTGGGTTGCTCAGGTAAGGGAATACTGAGTAATGGAAGGCCTTTTCCCTGCTAGCAGTGGTCCATGAGAGGTCAGACCTTATCTACTTCTACAGATAGTGGAGAGCTGTGAACCCACAGCAGTGAGATTTACAAAACACGGGAGCTGAAACTGTGCAATTCAACAGCTATTGACCGGGTCCATTGTTAGGGCACTGTATTTGTAGATCTTGTCCTTGGCAAACTTGCAAAGCAGTTTATTCCTCAGATATATCACTTATTAGCATCTGCCTTCCTCCTTTATCTTTTTTGTCTCTCCACTTCAAGGCTTCTACGATTTCCTTGTCAGAAAACAATACACATTCACTGTATAGCACGCATTTGTAATTATTAATAAAGTGTGCACTTTTGAACTGGAAATCATAACAGGAAGCATGTCTGAAGGTTGGATTGAGACAGTAAGGATAACAAGAAAAAAAACCACAACTGAAAGAACTAGATAAACAACAGTAGAAAGCAGGCATAAAGAATTTTGTGCTTGCCTCAAAGGCTTCAGACGTCTTACACCAGCACTTTAATTTCAAAAGGGTATTTTAAAAGGGTATTTTGTCTATATTTCTCAGGGTATTTTGTCTATATTTCTCCTAAACATTTCTGTCCAAAAATAAACTCACTTAGAGCATTTGAAGCAAAGCCTAAAATCTGTTCACATGAGAAATGCCACGATGGCATGTAGCATGCCACAGGCTTCCATTTTCATCCCTCAATTGGTTTGTACACTCTTGAAACAAAAACTTCCTCCTCTACCATTTTCATCCTCTTTTTGCCATCCATCACTCACAGTGCAACACTGTAAGCAAAACTGGCACATAAGCTGTTAAAACACTTTTTTACTTCCAGGCTTCAATTGTGTTCTATTTTTTAAAAAGGACAGTTAATAAAACTCAGATTACAGGTATCACAGAGAAGTAATGGAAGATGGGAGTTCTTGGCTTTTACATACATTGAACTGTATGTAGAACATGGACAGAAGACTGACAAATTAACCCTGCCATAATGCATTGCAGTAACACTTCCATCTTAACAAAAACTTTTCCAGTTTTAGACATTACATTTTCCATTGTAAAACCACTATTTTACAGGAAAACTGGCAGTTTCCATAAAAGTTGAGTCACAAGGAAATGAAGTTTCATTTTCAGTAGGAACCTTCTGACCAATTATAACTGAAATATTAAGTGTATCCCAAAGAATAAGTCCAGAAGTCTTTGAGATAAAATATCTTGATTGGTTTGAAACAACTCTACTGGTAGGAAGATATTCCAGTGCAGAACATCTGGAAGATGTGGACACTGATTTCTAACATAATCATAGCTGAATATCATGCTGTTTGTAAGCCAACAGCTCATTATTTGGGGGCTGGCCCTTTGGGCACTGCAGCCCTTCAGTTTGTGCAGTACTCATCTGCTCCAAATATGAACATAGCTGGTTTAGTAAATTATTCTTCCTAAAGACTAGTTATGAGGAAACCTCTTTCAGAAGACCACTGACATTCCACCTGAACAGCTAAATATTCCACTAAATAGAGAAGTACCAACTTAACAGACTCTAGCAATTTACCTTGTGTAATTCTAAAAGAAACAAAACCAACAAAACGAATTTGACCTTTTTTATTTTAAGTAACACATGGACATTAATTGTGTAGAAAATCAAAACGTATACAAACTTGTACAAAATTCAGATTGTTACTGTACAAAATTTTCAAATTCAATAATATGGAAAATTGAAGCCAGGTAAGAAGAACCAAACCATTGAAAGAATTGGCTGCTAGCCATCCATTTCTTCTATTTCATGTTAACTTGTCTGCATCACATACAAAGGAAAAACAGGCTATCAGCACAAATCACAAATATTTTTGCTCTGACAATTGTAACAGTATTCCAGTTTCCTATAAACAGGTCACTGGAAAGAGAGGTAATTAAAACGTCAAAGTCAAGAAAACATTCTTTGGACTTTACTTAAAGGTATCAATTAGTCCTAAGTACCTGAGGTTGAAGCAATGCCGGGACAGACCACAGTTCAAGTGGTTAAGGTTGCTTTTTCTAGAGAAACTGACATTAATACTAAATATGGATCTTGCCCACAGAACATCAGTACACCTGCTAAGCTGCAGAACTGCACTGACCTCTAATAGTCATCCCGGCCAAAACAAATAAAACGTGGGCAATCAACAAACCCTGAAGCTTAGTGTCCTTTTCTCCAATTCTTTTATGTGCCATGTCAGCTTTCTTAAGAAGTAATAAGGAGTTTTTGGTAATAGGTTAAAAGTAGTAAGTAGCAAAAGCAACAGATTTTGTTACAGCACTGTGTTGTACTCAAATTCATGAAGTAGCATAATGAAATGTACCACAGTTGCCTTTAAGATACCTGGTTAAAAAAAAATCAAGCAACTGAGATGTTTTGTGAGCGATAATGCTGCCCCTGAATACTGCCCCAGGTCATACTGCCTCACTGCAGCAGAATATCTTGATAATAAAGACACAGGTTACCCAAAAATAATGGTCTCAGTTTGAAGAGGTTGCATTAAAAAACAAAGAAACAAGCAAACAAAAAAACCCATCTTCTGTAACATAATTCCCAAACATAAAGGATCTGCATTTTCAACACTGGTTTAAATACTGAAATTTTAAATTGGGATGGCAAGTTCTAAAGAGGAACTGTAGTAGTGACAAGTAAAAGGATGCTACATGATATCTACAACTTTTAGAAATGTACAACCTATAAAAATAAATCATTTTACAGAACAATTTGTAGAAAACAGGTGAGAGAGATTATGTCTTGCCCCAGAAATCCTCCTTCCTCTTCTGAGCTCGTTCCAGTATCTGAGATGCAAGTGAGCTAGAGGCTGCTGAGCGAGCAGAAATCTGAGACAGCCTGTCATCTGGAGGAAGAGTAACAAGGGAAAATAAAGAAAAATTCAATATGCATTTAAAACACTGTTACATTCATAGCAGGTTTGGAAAGCACAAACTCCAGAATTGAGATCTGCAGCCTCACCTGGGGAATTTTGACACCACTACCCAATTCTCCAAGGCATCTTTACATATAGTCTCCTCTGACAGGAGATCTCAACATCATCCCTCTGCCACTGACCTTTGTACAGACTAGACTCTTAAGAAAAACATACTCATGAAAGCAACTCATCACTTCAAGCAAACAGGACAACCCTAGAATGCTACAACTAAAATAGCAGAACCTACACTGTCAAAATGTCCTTTTATGCCAAAACTTATTTGTGTGCAACAAACTGCTGAAAGAAACGTGTCTTCTGAAGAAAACAGGAAGTTTAGCACAACAGTAAGCAAGCTTTACAAACTTTTGAAAGGTCTTCTTTTTCAATACAAGATTCATTTCATACCCAACAGAACTTCTAAAATTAAGCAGCCTGGACCATGCTTCTCTGGCAAAGCATGACATTATATTCCTACAACATTTTTAAAAGGGTGCCATAGCTCTGTAAAGATGCTCTCTAAAAAAAAAAATCTCAATTACATTAATTCTCTTGCAATGGATTACAAAAATTGTAGCACTGCTTCTCAGCCCTGTCGCCAGAAAACAACAAAGATTCCACAACTAAACCCTAATAGGATCTGTTCTTTGTCAGCGTGCCAGTAATTTTTCAGTGGCATCTGCTAATCTTTGAAATCCAGTGAAAACAGCCCAAAACAGACTTAAAAGCTATGCATAACAACTATATTCCCATGTATGAGAAAACTGCTGACTGTACTTGTGCAATCAGGCACATCATTGGAATAACTCCTGGGTTTGTATGTACATCAACAAATACCAGCATACAAAATATCTGGCACACTGCAACGCTTCTGAAAGCTCAGACATCATTACTCAGATCACAGTAACAGAAGTTAAAAAAACAAAAGGTATTTACAGCACTTAAACTTGAACAGAAAAGCTTGTGGGAAGCTGCAGAGTACAATAGGATATTGCATGTTTTATGTAGATACACAGATGCTCGGCTGAACCATCTGCACAACCCACACATTTTCCAGCCAAATGCAATGACTAAAACAGAGAATCGGCCCGAACCTTGGTTAAAACCAAGGAGAGAACCAACGTAAGGGGTACAAAAAAGAGCGTGTGTTTATTCTGGGGTATACTTATAAATAGCATACTGTCAGATGTAATCTCACTCTGCCCATGCTCTGAACCAAAGGCAGGTGATTGCAAGTAGCACAGCACCAAACTCCAAATGCCCTGCTACGAAATGATGTGAAGTGGCCCAGATTATTGAAGCTACAGAGCCTTTGGTTGATTCATAATACTACAAGAGTTTATTTGGGGCTGCTCACAGAAGGGCCAAGATGCACTGGTGGCCCACACACATACCATCTGCTCCTCCACAGTAACTTTATAGTAAATGGAAAAAAAGGCCAAAACAGCAATCAGAGTAGCAGGATGCCACAAGTATTCCTAATGCAAGGAGCGGAGGAATAGGTGTGAAAATCAGAGGAATAGGTGTGAAGTCAGAGGAATCATTTTAGGTATGCCATATACTTGCTGGTAAAGTTTCAAGCACATGTGGTACCTTTTAAGTTGCACCCATAATTACTGAAGCTGCAACCTGAGCTGTGTTCATTTTGAAGCTTGCTTCTGTTGCTACCAACACAAAGATTAAAAAAAAATGTGTGGGGAGGAAATGATTTAGGTATGGAATTGAGCAAGCTATATTAAGCATACCGAACCGCAATGGTTTGTTTGATTTTCAGCTGTGTTCATGTTTGTTTATGCTGGAACATAACTTCATGCTCTTACCTCACATTACTGGGATGAACATTTTTAATTTTCTTTCTGTGAAGCCAAGAGGTATTTATGTACTACCAGTATATTATAACTATCCGTATAATAAACCACTAGTAGATCTCTCACATTAGTGCAAAAGTTGAAGTCAATCCAGATAACATAGATATGATATGCAATAATATTTTGTGATTATAAATACCTTCATTGTTGTAGTTTCTTTCCTGAAGAGGTAGCTGGAAAGATCTCATTTTTGGATTCCCAATATTTCCTAAGAGCAAAAGGTCATGTTGCTTCTTAGAATAATTTCTAAGTAGGCAAAGGATTTCATTTCAGAACATTCTAAAATGTTAGAATATTATTACTTTGATCAACATCAGTCTTCCAAATAACAGATATGCCAAAAACTGCATGAAACCCATTTATCTGAGGCTGAGGTAAAATTTATTCCATGGTGTTCTCCCCACCTGTCTTTCACAGACACTGTAACAGTTACTTCGTGAACAGCACTCCAGGTGCACAGATAAAACACAGCACCAGTTCTAACTCTTTGCAGGGAAATTCTCTGGATTCCACCAATCCACTTAACCTGACCAGTACTTGCTCCATTCTAGAATGGAAATTTTACCTTAGTCTAACAAATCTTTATAACACAAGAACCAAGAATTGTGGGACTACTGTGATCAGCTACTGAAAGCCTTACCACAAGGGCAATGTAAGCAGATAAGCTTTATTCTGACTAAGGGGTAAAGGACTCTGCTTTATCTAATGTGCCTTCAACAGTTGCTAAACATCTCCGAAATGCTCCAGCACAAATTCCTGCTAAGCAAAGAATTTTCACTGAAGAATCAAAAACACCGTTTGTGTAACTTTCCTCAATACCCCATAACTTTTTAATAATTGTTTTGTTTTGTTTCCAAGTTCTGCAGAAATAGTTAAGGAGCTTATTTCTCAGAAATTCATCACCTCTGCAATATAACAACATGCTCTAAAGGTTTTGTTCCATATTTCTGTTGGTTGCTCCAACTGGATGGACTTACACAGTTGTAGCCTAACGATTAAATATTACAACTGTCTGTGGTAAACCAAATATTTCTCATAGTAAGCGGGTACTTACTGATACTAATAGAACAGAATTAGACAACAAACCACAGAATAGAATTATATTAGTGGAATCTGAAACTAAGGTGGATAGTCATGCACACCTTTCCTTCAGATCCTCAGCAAGACTAAACATACTAGTATTATTTTTTTTGTTTATAAACTCCTCTTTGTAAAGTTAGTAAGCAAGCTCAGCACTCCCTTGGCCTGAATATTGCAAGGTAGCTATTTCCATCTCGTGACATTCTTTAACACAGCCAGTTAATAAACAATACGCACCATTATGCTGGAATTCAGGATCCTTGAGAGTCCCTTGAATACGAGGAGAGGGACTCCAACAAGGCACAGGGTGGTTTTTGGTTGACATCAGCACAGGAGGTGTAGAGGACTGCTCTTGATATGCTGAATTAATAGCAACTGTCTCACCAGAAACACCGTTAGGATGCCACTGATCCTGCCTAAGTGGCAGAAGATCCACAGTTCCCAGCCCAGCAGGTGGCGAGGTAAGGAGTGAAACAGCTTTCACTTCTGCTTCAGGCTAAAACACAATAGAGAAGGAATCATAGAATAGCTTAGACTGGAAGGGACCTCAAGGATTCTCAAGTGGCAAAGGAAAAAAAAAAAAAGCACTTCATATACACTAACAGCCTTCCAATACAGTCCCTCACATATGCAGCTAATGTTTTAATGGGAAAATGAACAAATCCTGGTATGGAGGGAAAAAAATTGTAACATTTAGTAGAAATAGCCAAAATGGAGCTCATCTAATCTCACTCCTTGGTTTGATAAAAAAAACACGTATTTTTTATTCAGACATCAGCCCTTTTAGTCACAGATGCTGAAAATTTTACAATAGCAAATGACAACTCAAGAAAAAAAATTAAGTTACTGTTCAGAATTACTTTAGAAGCATGTTCCTAAAAAGCATTACACTAAGTTCCTTTTCTCACTCACCCGGAAGGACCTTCTTTGTGAAGCCTCTCTTGCACCGTGCTTTGCTGAGGAAAGCTCTGTTCCTAAACTTCTCATTCTCTGCCGTGAAGATGAAGACTTGAATTTAGGAGGAGACACTAGAACTGCACCTCCTATTGTAGTGGAGAAGATAAAAAATGCAAACTTGCTGAACTAATTCATACATATCTGTTTTCCTTTAGTTCTTGATTTTGTATTCAAAAGTCTCTATTACCAACAGCAGGGGTAGTGAGATCATGATGAGTTCTCTGAACTCGGCCAAGTGCTCTCAGCTGCGGGGTAGGAAGTCTGCCACCAGGCTCCGAGGATACAGAAGAAGAATCTGACACAGCTGCAGGAGAATTCAACAGGCAGGTATTCTCACTGCAAAAATGAGAAATGATTCCAGGATTAATTAAGGTGTTGGGCATCCTGCATTCAAATGTTTTGCTACTAATACATTCCTACAACAAAGGCAAGTCAGATAGGGCCATAAAGCACCAACATCCTGTAGCTAGAATATCTGTTTGCAATGGGGAACCCTGAATTCCAGCCTCTGAGCCTCAGTTTCTGTTGCGCTGGGTTTTTTTTTAAATGTAACACATAAACAGTCTCAAGCATCAAATTCAGGCTGCCTGTTTCCCACTATACTTTGAACACTTTGCTGTGCAGAAGCACAGATCTCACCCAGAATAACTTTGAACCTGACTGCTAATAGTCACCTCAGAAGTTGGAATGTGGGTTTACCTTTCCAGTCAATGTTACAGAACTGAACCCAAACACAATGGGCAATACAACATGCTTAGGTAGTGTGATAATGATGGCCAAAGTTACTCAGATTTAAATACGTGCCAAGCTAACAGACTGCTCAACCAAAAATTTTACAAAAAGTTTACAAAAGTTACACAGTAGAAAGCCAGAGATGTCAATAACTAGATATATGAAGGATCCTTCAACAGACAAATACAGTTATACACACTGTACTATGCACACAGAATTGACCTCTTTTTATCCTAAATTCCCCTACACATCTTGCCCATTTGGGCTCACTGGTGATTTCTGGGTGCTAGTAAATTCTTTTCTCCTAAGTCCTCTATCTTTGCCCATGAGTTTTCTTCAGAAAAAATGCAGACACATAAGAACAAGATTAGAATGTCCTTCATCCTTTCAGCACTACATTGTCAACCTGAAGCAAACTGGGCTTTGATTTTCACTACACTTTGCTACTGTGCAATGAACAGACTCTTCTGATAGGCCTACAATGCAAATTTTAAAGATTTTGGAAAAATTCAATCCAATTTTTCACACTTCTATACAAATTACAACTTAAGTCTTGCAAGCTAGAAATCCAGTATTCCTAGTGATGGATCCATTTCCATCATCCAGCTCAGTGTTCTGAGGTTTCCTGTCCATTATCTAACTACTAAAAACCAAACCAGAGTCACACTGAATTATACTTGCATAAGTAAGTCTGCTTTTAAAACAAAAATAATTTAATTTACACATTTCTGAGATGTTAGAGGGAAAAAAATATATATGCCACAAGAATGTTCAGTTTTACCCTTCAATTTTGTTATCTTCATTTATACCCTTATTGTTTTTTTCTAAATTCTGTGTCACAACTGCAGCTTGCTCATTTTCTTTTTCTTCTTCTTCTCTTGATTGTTGACTCTCTTTTTCTTCAGTGCCTTCTTGTTCACCCCAAACTAAACGTCTTTTGACTGGAACAGTTGGTGCATCTGACAGGTCTTTATTCTCAGTGACATCCTGGTGAGACTCTTCTCTGGAGCCAGGTTGCTGCAGCACTTTTGGCTTTGGTGCTGTCTCCTTTTCAGAAACTCTGGGTAACAAAGAAAGCACTGTTTTATACCACTGATTTGCATAACACATACTGTGCATCTACACAGAGCACATTCATCCAGTTCTGTCCTTGGTAATAAATACAGCTCAGACACTAAAAAGTAGTAGAGTTAACATAATGTATATGTACTGAGACTTTAACTGATGATTAAACTATTTTCAAACTAGACTGAAATCTCTGAACTACCACTTCAAAAAAATGGACTGTAAAATTAGTGCACTATTTCCAAACTGAAAATAATAAAATTATCCTAACACACTTCATTTGGGAAATAGCTGTCTGTACATTTCAGTAAAATACTACTTCTGAATTTTCCTTGCAAAATATTTATTAATCTACCTGGTATTCAAACAATGGATCATTCCAGTTTATAAGCCTACATCTCAGAAGTAACCTGTGTCTAAGATTCAACCATCAGATTATTAATTAATCTCAATAAAGAACAACAACAAAATCTGAGCAGGCAAAATATACTTCATATCACTCCAACTGAAAGAGGAACATTACTTCAGTATGATTCAAAGATAAATTTCTCCGTACTTGACAAGACTAAGGTTGCCACACTAAATATGCATTTGTGGTTAACCATAAAGGAGTAGCATTTCTCTTCTTTTAGAAGACATGACCATTCCTCATTTTAAATTGGAGCTTATGCCAACCAATGCATCTGTGAAACAGTAAATGCCCACATCAGTTCCAGAAAATTTACATTTAGTCTAACAAGAGAGGTCTCAAAGCTATGCTAAGCCTATCTAAAGCATTTTGCCCTGTGTTCAGAGCTGCAGAACAAAATGTAGAACTGACTCCCTTACCCAGCAAGATCGAGTGCTCTGATGTCACTGCTGATGCCTTCTTCAGAACTGGAATTTGAGGATACATCCCACAGACTGTTATTATCAGACAGGAGCTGGTTGAGATGGTACCGAGAGAAGTGTGTTCCCTCTATTCGTTGCCTGTAAGCCTTTGCTCTTGCTCGAAGTTCTCTCACCTGCACACCAAGGTTACATAAGCTGCGTGCCAATTTAAAGTTGACTTACATCTTACTACCAAGCACTCGCATTAGCTAATGGCAGCTAGAAGAGAAAGGCAAGTTACTCATAACACAGTCGCCCACAGAGCAAACACTGCATGCTGCAGTAAATGCAACAAGAGAAAAGCAAGAACAACAGAAATTTGTGTTTAGCAAGCATATTTGAGCCATTAAGCCAAAGCAAAATTATCAATTACTCATTCAGTGAGCACAAAAAGTTATGCAGCAGCTATGAACAAGCTTAGTACTGGATTCTAGTTTTTCCATCAGTGTTCAGGCACAACACAGTGCTCCAAACCTCAGAACAAGAACTTAGATGCAACAAACCTCCATATACCACATGGAATTTAGGGGGTTTTGTGATGCCTAAAGAGAGGAATACAGAATTAATTCAAAATTCCTTAATTTTCTCTCAACATTGTATTACCACTGTAAATTGATCAGAATCTAAGTAACAAACCAAGTACACAGCTCTATGCTGCCTCCCTGAGATTCAGTAAAAAGCTGTAAAACAAACACATCAACAATGCCATTACACCAGTTTTCACTGAGCTTGAGGAAACTACATTTCTAGGCCTTAACATGTAAAAATACATTTGCTGTATATTAATTTGTATTTCAAATCAACACACCTATGTGCATGTGTAATACCAAGTTCATAAACTGTGAACACTGCACCTGTCTCTTGCTACTGATCGCATCTCAGTGAGGAGCTCATGACTACATGAGATCTCTTGGTACTACTGTATATACGTCATAACATCAAAATCTTTCCTTCTAGGCTAGCAGTAACTGCATGAATGAGATGTAAAACTGTTAAAATGTCAGCTTTGGTTTCAAAAAGTAAAAATTGCAAACCCTCTCTTCAGGTATGATACAGTTGAAATGACACTGGTTAAATACTGTTTGAACACTCCCTTTCTTTCATCTTTTGAACACAATTTAAAGAGCAAGAATACAAAACAGCAATAAAAGTTTACTTTTATTTTGAAATTGATTCAAAAGAAATTCTTCATATTGTAAGAATTGTGCCTCACTACAAATGGTTCACAGGAATTATGCATTTCGTCAAACAGAAGGGAAGCAATACTGATGCTTCCTTTAGTATATTTTCTTTTTTTTTTAATTTCATGATAGGTTTAAAGTCCTTCCTGCATAGAAGGGGAAGAAGTGGGCCAAATTCCACAAATCCCACTAAAAAGTAATTGGATACAGAAGATGAATATCCACTCAGCCTGCGCCAGCTAATATCCCAATAGTTGACCCATTAAACTTCCAAAGAGTAGTCAATTAAAAATGTATACTTGTCATTTTACAAAGAGAATTTAAAGGTGCGAGTGATTTACTGGATTATTCACTTTAAATAGCAGAACGATAAATTAATTATGATAGTCACAACAGAAGGAATACAAAACCAGAGCAACAGGACACTGCAGGGGGAGGAAGAATACTATGTCTCCAATGAATTGTGAAGAAGTACAAAGGACAACCGACTCCTTCAGCGACTCAGCAGGCAGCGTTATCTCAGCAGGACACTGGCCCCAGAGAGTCCTAATGTGATTATGAACTGTCCGCATTAATTTTTCAAAAGCATAATTCAAAGAGATCTTTTCATTCTACTGCTGAAAAGCAGCCCTTAATAATATATTATAGCATAGCAGTTTAGCAATAATCACTACAGCTAAGGTCACACCAGGACTCTATTGCATTCCTTGCTTGTTTGAGCTCAAAACTTCAGTCTATGTTTCGGACCCAAAGTTATCTATGTAAGGTCTCAACTGGGAAAGCAGACTGGAGCAGCCAGAGCTCATCATCTAATCACACTACAGAGAAATGTTCTGCAGGCACCTTCAGCAGGGATGAGCCTCAAAGAGCAATTAAAGATAATGGTTAAGATGGAGCCCTGCAGAACAGTCATGTCAGTGCATTAGTATGGGAGTGGGTATGGAATCATTTAGAAACCAGAACAACTGTTAAGAAACTGGTAGGGTGGTAGCCTGTACTGTGAATAGCCAAAGTATTTCTGCTGCCTTCAGTAAAAGTGATTAGCTTAGCAGTTCTTCCAAGTTACACATTCCTGGAACAACCTGCAGTAATATACTCCTCAAACAGCTACATTCTTTCCTGTATCTCAATAGTGAAGGAAATATTTTATTCAGTTCTACTAATTCAGACACACTGGATTTCATCCTGTAATTCAAACTCATTAAAAGGAATTAAAAATAATAGTAATAATAATAAAGCACAGCAAAGGATCTACCAGAATTTTTCTTCTTGTATTAATAGAGGTTTTAATAATTAATCTTGGTTTTCTCCCAGCCTATCTGTACAACCGGAAAATTCCAAGCTTTAAGCTTGTTGTCTGCTTCCACTGTGCCAAAAAAACCCTTCTTTTTGAGAGTGATAAACCCAGGAGATTTATATAGAAATGCTAACAAGGCAGTTACAATTAAAAAAAAACAACAAAAAAAAAACAGATTACATAGAAAATCCCACCAAGTAACACATTTGCACAAGCTAAACATTATTGTTTGTCTTCCAGACAAACTAGTGTGATATGCCCACACACATTTGAATCAAAGTGTAACAGAGGAAAAATTCAGGTAATTCCAATTCTAAAAGTCTCTGCTATTTGAAGTCACACTGAGATGTAATGTAGGTATGTATATATTAAAAATGTGTACATTACATATACTAGTAATCAATAAAGCATTCGTTATTATCATATTAAAATTTGGTTCTTCCAGCTACCCGGCACAACTCCTTCACTTAGAAGGTCCCAAAAATCCAAACATTTTTAGAATTCTTCATGCAGTGACTGTTTTCCTGTTTCTCTGCATTTCTTGTCAGCAAGAAAATCTCCATCATAAAGCCAGATACAACCAAAACACACATCCTTAAATGCGCGAAATTCTTCATTTCCAGTGCACTCTAATTAAATGTTATATATTTATATATAAGAAGGATCCTGCCTAGTAAAGCATAACACCCGAAGCTGATAACAGCTCCAGTTTCAAAAATCACTGACACAACATCCAGTCTCCAGACAAAAGCCCTAGATGCCAGAAGAATTATACACTGTACAGAAACATTCTGCATGCTGCTTTACAGTCAGGCTGCATGCAGGAGCTTGGCTTATTCTACAGCCTTAGTGACGGTTGGTGTTAATCTAACACATACATCAGTGTTCATCAAAATTAAAGTACTTCTTGTTTTTAGTTCTCCAACATCTTACACAGCTGTTTTTGCATAATGGATTGTCTGATGATATATATATAATAACTGCTTCAATATACATAAATTTTTGCCTAAGAAGAAAAGTAAAATGACTTGCTTGATCAAGTCTAGTAAGACAACACAGAATTGAAAGCTAACACACTATTGCTTTTTCTAGGGAATGCTACTTGCTAAAGCTCAAAGCCCAACACTCTAGAGTGAATCACTCCAGTTCTGCCTTCCATGTCAGCTTGATCCTTACAATACAATTCACATTTTACAAGTATTTGCCATATATTTAGAAGCACATTGTATCTCAAGAAGACTCCCTCTATCAGATGAGCAAAGCTTAAGTCAATTTAGTGAAATTTGACAGTTGCAGAACTAGCTCTAACTGTTTCTTACATACTGCTAAAAGTTTTGTGAGGAGTGGCTGAGGGAGCTGGGACTGTTCAGTCTGGAGAAGAGGAGGCTCTGGGGAGACCCTACTACTCTCCACAACTGACTGAAAGGAGGCTGTGGTGAGGTGGGGGTTGGCATCTTCTCCCAGGTAACAGTAAGAGAATGAGAGGTAATGGCCTCAAGTTGTGCCAGAAGAGGTTCAGGTTGGATATCAGGAAAAATTTCTTCTCAGAAAGGGCAGTGAGACATTGGCACAGGCTGCCCAAGGAGGTGGTGGAGTCACTGTCCCTGGAGGCATTCAAGAAATGTGGAGACATAGCACTGAAAGACGTGGTTAGTGGGCATGGTAGTGAAGGCTGTGGTTGGATGAGGTGATCTTAATGGTCTTTTCCAACCATAATGATTTTATTCTGTTCTATACTCAGTAAACCTACTAAGAAATACTATGCTCCTGAAGCTGCTGAGCATTTTCAGACTGTCAAATGAGTTACCATGGGGTATAATACTGATTGTAGTTGTTGAATTAACTAAAAGAAAATACTCAGATACAGTGAAACTTGCCAGAGAAATCTGTATTTTATATTGTATATGACTGAATTTAGCCAACTGCTTTGAATAAATTCATCTTGGCAGGTGGCAGAGTTCAGCTGTCAAACAGATTTAAGCTAATACATGTATTGGTCTTTTCTTCTTATTCTCTTGAAAACTGCTACCACCTAATTCAACATATTTTAAAATTCTGCTGGGTTGAACATCAACACTGCAATTATCAGTTGAAAAGGCCTTGTTCTGAGTGATTCTGATTTGTAAGGAAAACATTTTCTCCTGTACTTTCCACATTATGTTAATTAATTTACTTTTTAAATCACACTGTCACTTAATTTTTCCTACTACTGTCTTGTCAGAATCTAACCTTCTTTGTAGTCACCTGGGGAAGCCTGAGTTGTTAGCGTTACAATGTCAAACCATAGTTCTTTTACATACAAAAAACATACTACAAACCATATTCAGGACTCTGATTTTTTTTTTATTTTTTTTAAAAACACTCACCTGATTGGGAACTTTACTCCTAATACGAGACCAAGCTCCATCTTTGTAGAAATACTGGGCTGGTGACAAGAATTTTGACCTGTACTCAGTGTTCATCTTCCTAAGACATCAAAAATAAAGAGGAGAAAATAGAAAGAATTATCCTCGATATCCAGAAGATGCCTTTTTATAAGTTACATCAACAATAAAAAGCATTCTTGCACTTAAATCCCAGGGCTGATATGAAAACTCTTTTGAAACACAGCTCACTCATAGCAATGCAACCAGGAAAGACATGAAAAACTCCTTCAGTTGGTAATTATTCCTGATTTGTTTTTCCTACCAGCACTTCTGTCGGAAGCTTTTGTCCTCTCAGCAAATCAGCAGAACACAGTAACACACATAGGGCTCAATTACTTTGATATAAAATGAAATACCTTGCTTTACATCATAGATGAAGGTGCATTTAAGTAAAATGCCTGGTTTGGCACTAACACAGCCAGGATACTTCCTTCTACGAATGCTGATGTAAAGGCAATACACACTGCATATGAGTGGGGTGTGCTTTTGAAGCAGATCCATCTGACTACCAGAACAATGTTCAGTATTAATTCATCTATTTCCTCTTGTTTGGGATTTTCAGAAGCATTCAGTGTTCCTAAAGACAGTCATTTCCCCTTCTGACACACACACACACACACAGAGGAAAATGAGCATCATCTAATCTCAAGCAATGCTACTAGTCCTTTAACCACTGAACTGTGGATTGATTAGCTCAAATCTCGAGTATTTTTCTTTCTAATCTTGCTTTAAAACATTGCTAACTCTATTTTTGTATACTCAATATCAAGTGAGTAAAAACTTTTTTCAGTCCTTCAGAAATAGATCATAGATCATCAGAGAATAAAATGCACCTTGTGAAAATAAAAGTATCAGGGGAAAAAAAATATTCAGAACTTCTTTCTGTACGTCTCTTTTTTGTAACTCACAGAATTTCTTGTTTTATTCACAAAACCAATTGATTAGCTCAAACACACATCGACGCCGTGCCTCAGTCCCAGTAGTTCTGTATCCAGGCAGGTCACACATTTGCATACAAACTGCAAGTCTTGCCTGCATGCTGAGAACTTGCACATTTTCCTCAATTGTTTGCCCAGTCATTGTTTTGGAAACTTCTGTTTTTGTTCTACCACACTGAAAGCTTAAGAGGCAGAAATCTGTCTTTAAATGGGCAGAATATTATCAAGAATTTTTCACAGAATTTTACACTTAAAAAAAGTCAACTAAATGATCTAAAATGTCAAGGAACCACAAAATCCAAAGAATTTAAGGTTTCAAGTGCATTATATCCATGTGCTTTTTCTCAAAGTGATATTACCCCACAGTACCTTTAGTGATCATTTTTCCCACCTCCAATCTAATGCCTTGACATTGCCAGAAAATTATATGAATGAAAGCAGTCACTGGGAGATACACGAAGCATGAAGATAGAACAGATTTCTGCATTTTTAAACTTGCATCCATTCTGGGCTTTTACTTCTCTGACAGATCTCAGATGCGTGGAAAATGGGAATAGGATTTCCATTTTTACAGAGAAGGCATGTGGCAGAAGAAAAAGATGCTTAGACATCTCTCAGCAATATACAACACTGCTTACTTTCAGTGCTTATCATATTACCCAGTACAGGACAAATTTCTTTACTGCCTTTTACTTCATGTGTTTACTTGCACTCCTCTATGGGACAGATGGTGGTATGGAACAGAAAAAGACGACATCAGGCACAATCAAAACAGTTTTAAGGCATGTAGAGCAAGCACAAGAGAGCTGTTTGCAAGGTGACTACAACTTCCAAAGCACGCACTGAAAGCACACTAGCAGCACTACAGCAATTTAATTTCGCTCATGTTAAATTTATTTATTTATAATCATATTATTCTTGTACCAGGAGGCTTAACTGAAGCAGCAGTGTTTAAATGCATCCACTTCCACTGCCTGGAGAAAAAGATGCAAATTCACACCAGGATATTTAGGTACGACAGGAAGCTCAGCCCCTGTGGTGCAGGGGAAAGACACCACATTTGCTCTTGTGACAACAGGACTCCACAGTTAAAGGTCATCATCCACCATTCTAAACAGACAGTTGCACACCTACTCACAAGGCAGGTTTTCTCATTTTATACATACCCACGATTTGTACGTAAAGAAAGGGGCTTTTGACTGATATGCTGCTTATTTTTTCGTTTAGGGTGTTTCTGCTCTGATTTCCCTTGTTTTGATGCATCTTCTGCTGGCTTTTGTAACAGTTCTTCCCTCTTAGTCTGAGGCAAAGATAATTTTAAAAATAGTGTATTAGCTAACAAACTGAAAATTCTATTCCCTCTGACACCAAACTTTTGCAAACAGTTGATTGTTACTTTAAAATACTAACTCTTTCAGATATTAAAAAGAAGCTAGCAGATTACATTCCTCTGTTAATACCAAAACAAATCACCAGAATGCCAAAGCTACGATTCTGAGTGCAACGTTCTCTTAGTTACCCATGATGTATTTTGCACATTTCACCAAAAGAATTTAACATGAAACAGAAATAAAAGACTATCATACCCCTGCATTGAAACTGGAGTTAACATGTGAATTTCTGGAATGTATAATTTAAATAAATAACTCAATGATGCTCTCAGTCTTATAGTGAGGCAATGGAAACTATTTTATAATAAACAAAAATGAAAACAGAATGCTGCCATTCTGTTTTTGGAAGGGTCAGACTGATTCGTTCAGCTTTCACAGCAAAGACTTTTTTTCCTTCCTGCTTATGTTATGCCCTTGGAAATCTCAAGTATTCTTTCTGATTCTACTGGAGATCTTTACAGAAATTCTTCAAATTCAAGAAAACCCAAATGAAAAAAAAGGGAAAAAAAACCCCAAAGCATCACAAAATCTCATTTTTTTTCCCTAAGATATTCATCAAAGTGAATACGTGGGTATAAACCAAAAGTGTTTTGAGCACTTCTTCCATACATCATCTCCTCATGTCTTCTTTTTCTGACACTCACTTTATTGGTTCTCTTGGAAAAACATAATCTGAATTTCCAATACCAGAAGCAAAGAAACACTTCCTGAAATCTTCCTGCCCTTCAGGCTGTCTTCACATCTGCTACAAGAGGCAAAAGAGCACACAGTGTCTGTCCCTCTCAAATGAGATTTAAAGCACCAGAAAAGCCTAGGTTCTAAATGATAAAGCCTCCAAGCTGACAATCATCTTTAAGTACCTCAAGAGTACCAACAACTTAAACTGAGCCAAGGCACTCCATGTCAAACACACTTTACTTGGCAACAGTCCTAGTGAACATCTTGTTTTACAAAAACTCTTTTATTGAGATCACAGATGTGTGCTGAAGAGACTCACAGGTGGCCCTTCTACCTGATGCATAAGGTCCCATTACAGCCCTCTGTTTGCCTTTCAACTCACAATCAAAGAATCACTGAACTGCTTGGGTTGGAAGGGACCTCAAAGATCACCAAGCTCCAACTCCCCTGCCACAGGCAGGGCCACCAACCCCCAGATCTGGTACTAGACCAGGCTGCCCATGGCTCCATCTGACCTGGCCTCGAACACCTCCAGGGATCATAGAATCACAGGGTTGGAAACAACCTATAAGATCATCCAGTCCAACTGTCTCCTCATCACCATTGCCACCACAAGCACTAAGCCACATCACGCAGCACGTCGTCCAGACGCCTCTTGAGTCCCAGGGTCAGCGACTCCACCACCTCCCTGGGCAGCCATTCCAGTGCCTGACCACTCTCTGAGAGAAAAAGTTCTTCCTTATGTCCAACCTAAACCTCCTCTGATACAACTTGCGGCCATTACCCGTGTCCTGCTCGTTGCCTGGGAGAAGAGGCCAAATCCTCTTCACCACAACCTCCCTTCAGGAGGTTGTAGAGTGCAATGAGGTCTCCCCTGAGCCTCCTCTTCTCCAGACTGAACAATCCCAGCTCCCTCAGCCGCTCCTCATAAGATTTGTGCTCCAGGCCCCTCACCAGTTTCGTTGCCCTTCTCTGGACACGCTCCACAGCCTCCTCTCTGGAGCATCCACAGCCTCTCTGGGCAGCCTGTGCCAGCACCTCACCACTCTCTGCACATCACTGGAAAGAACTTCCCCGACATTCGAAAAGATAGCAAAGATAAACTAATGATAACTCTTCCTCCATCTTCCTTTACACTACAACTGTTGTCTAAAAATCAGTTTCATCTGTGTTTACACATTTTTTCTTTGTTTTTAATCCACACACTGTCTGACCTACCCAAAAAGTTCCAGACCTTCTCCCACCCAGCTGATAACTAAGAGATTGCACTGGTAGCAATGAAAGAATGAACAGGAGAATTAGAAAGTTTCAATTAAAAAATAAAATAAAATTGAAAATTCAAATTAAGGTGGCAGTTCAAGGGGAAAAAAAAAAAAAAAGACTTCGTAAATAGAAAAAAAGCATTACAGAAACTGCTATTGCAAAGAGAGCTGTAACAGTGTTACTCCCAGTCCTCCACAGCAAAACTACTATTGCCTGAGACCAGACTCATTAACAACTATAAAATGTAACTTCAGAAAATGTTTAAAACCCATTCCCATATTACTGAAAAAAACTATCAAAACTATTAAACAATATATACGTCTTTCTTTTAGGGAAATATTTACTTGCTCACAAACCATAAATTCTTTCTCTTCTGTAGATTTCTCTTGAGGACCCTTAGCAGCAGGAGAACCTTTGAAATTTCTCACATTTTCAGTTTCAGAAGTAATTGCAGGAGATTTAAATGGAGGTACAGATTTAGTCACATTGTAAAGAGCCTTCAGGAGAGAGGGGGAAAAAAAAAAGAACAGTAATATCAGCATTGTGATTTGCTTTAACTTAAGCTAAATGTTCAAAATCAGTTAACCAATTCACACAGATGTACTCACAAATCAGCAGAGAGGCAGCCATGCGTAAATACACAACATGTGCAGACTAACTTCTAGGACAAACTGAAGACAAACTTATTTTCAAAAACATTCATTACAGGAGGTGGAATCAGGTTAGGATAGACTCAAATTTGTGCTCAAATACTATTCTTACTGAACTCCATTAACGGAAGTTACTTTTATTTGGGAAAGCAGTGGGGGAACGTTGCAGTTCAGACTTTCATAAAAGATCTTTTCTTTTTCAAATAGAAATGCCAGAGAACTTCCACGGAGTCCTCAGTACATGGCCTGTCCTAAGTAACAACTGTTCTTCAATTTAGAACTGGATGCTTAGGGTTTGGTGGTTTCACCTAGGCAGTTTTCCAACCACCACTGCATTTATTGTAAGGCAAGGCACAGAGTTGGCCCAATGTGTCTTCTGGTGTCATTCCTTCACAGGGTGTTGAGAGTTAAAAGACGATGCCACATGTCACATATGGCACACATTTTCCTCAGCTTTACTACGTGAGTTTAGGTCAGACTTCTAACCTAACTTGGATAACTTGGTCATTTCCACAGAACTTTCTTTGAGAGATAATACTGTCATGATTCAATACCCAGGCGTGCTTTCCATCATCTCAACAGCAATCAGAAGAAAAACAGATTGTTAATATTTTAATTTTTAATCATGACATTGTAGCCTTAAGCTCAGAAGCTGAAGTTACATAGAGGTTAGAAAAAATCTAAATATATTTATCTAAGCATTTACAGTACTTACAAACTTATTCTTAGGATTTCCTATTCTCTATAATCTGTGTGGAAAAAAAGTTTGCTATTTTAGTTTCTACGTTCTTTCCTCTGAAATAGCACAGTATTCACAAGCATCAAACTGACATTCTGGGACCAGACTTTTCCTCAACCAGTCTATACTATTTCCATGCTTATCAGTGAATTTTCCTTGCATGAGGGACTGCTGGGAAACAGGTATCTCAAAGCATGCCCACCTGCTTGGCACCGCAACAAAAAAAGTCAGGAACGGCTTTTGGAGGAATTATTCCTAGTTATCATATATTGCCTTTGAAAGCTGCTACTAAGCCAATCTGCAACCTGTAGATAAAACCAGAGATAGCACTACCTGTAGTAATCCTATTAATGCACACGCTTCTTGTGAGGAAACAGAAGACAGGATAGAAATTCTCTTTTACAACAAAGTTTAGAAATCCAAATTCTGCAGGAGAGCCTACACTGTAAGAGGGCCAAAAGACAGACTGGATCTCCTCATTCTGACCTCAGTAACAATACATGGAAAACTCAAAGCAGTCTTGCAGTCAGAATTATTCTTTATGGCCAGATTAGAAATAGCAGTATTTTCAGTCCTACAAAGTCCAAAAATGGATGAGATGCATCGAAACGCCACAAGGGTCTTTTATAATCAGGAGATTCCACTTCTACATATAAGCAGTTCTCCTGAAAGAAAACTACAGCTGAATAACTACAGAGTTGCATTTTGGGGCCTAGGAGCATATGTGCACACAGCAAGAAACTATGGTAACCCAAAAAAGATCATGAGAATAAATACCGAAACCTGCATGATTTCAGTGGCAAGATGTTATTCTAACATTGAACACCTGAACATTCCTATGCTGATTAGCTACATACTAAACATAAAAACTATGAAAATAAAAAGTAATACTTAAGAGCATCTAAAGTTAATTATGAAAATTGAAGAAAACGGTCTTTGAAAGAGCTGAATACAACCAGGAAGGAGATGATCAAGTAGTAGACAATGAAAATTCATGGGGAAACATGTAACCATATTGCACATCTATAGATGGTGAAGGAGGTGAAAAAAAATATACATAACAGCATGCCAGTTTATGAAAGGAAAGAGAAAGAAGAAAGAGAGGGGAAGAAAAAAGGAAAGAGGGGAAAATAAGCAACTTATAACATAAAAGAAATTATTCATCTACTTTTCGAAACTTCTTTGAGTTACCTCTTCAGCTGCAAGTATTGGTGACTTTTCCTGAGGACTCTTCCAAACAAATTGACTTTGATATTCAGAATTTCTAGGGTAAGTACTTAAATGGGGAATATTCATGCCTGTTTTCCTCTGAAGGACTATGTGAAGCTGACAACATAAAAAAGCAGAAAATTTTACACCAATTGCTCCCTTCCCTACCATGTTTTGCAAGTCAGAAATCTTTTCAGTGTGCATCTTGAAACCAATTTTTGTTGTTATTAATTGAATTACATGAATGCAAAGTACATTTTCTCATTTTAGTCAACAATTCCAAAAAGTCTGTAAGCCATTGGCTCAATCCTTGTTTAACTGAAATCAATCCAAACTGCACATGAACGGAAGAAGCCCTATTGATCTACATGGAACCAAAATCTGGTCTCAAAAGTAGTTCCCCCAACAGAGAAGCTGGAGTAGAAGAACATCAACATACAGAACTAAGGAGAGTTAAACAACAGAGACTGGTGTAAGTGTATTAAATTACTGTAAAAATCAGATGAGTAATCTTTATATCGGTCAATTAAAAAAAGTCTTCTCTTACCCCTCTGTTCACCTTCTCCGCTTCCTTTTTTGGAGGTACAAATGCTTCCTTTTGATTAGGCAGAGCTACAGGTGGTGATTTCTTCATACTATTTTCTGCAAGGGCAAGAGCAGTTTTGACTCCAGAATCTGAAGAATGTGACCGAACCTTTGGGGGGAGCCTTGGTCCTTCTGGTGTTTCAGTGTTTTCCTGATTCACATCATTACTGTGGTCTGCATGTGACTCTGCGGTCTTGAGAGCCTCTGTTTCACCTGGGTCATCCAAATCACAATCCCCTGTCCATTCAAATGACTTTGAAATCTGTGGGTTATGGTAAGGTACTCTTCTCTTCGAAATGAAGTTTGGCTCTCTTGTGATTCCTTAAAAAACAACACACTAAGCTTAACATAAGACATAATCTTGAATATATAATATTACTGTATTACAAGAAGAAACGGGAAGTTTATCATCCAGTGGAGAAAAACTATTTTCTTTGAGCAACGAGAGCCTATGAATTATGGGCACAACTGTAAAATCATGGCTTCTTTCACATCTGTAAATGCCTTTCCTTTCCACTAAAGAGAGACCGTAACATGGCACTCCAGGACCACACTGGATGAAACCTATAAATAAAATACGGCCAACAAACAATCTTCTCCAAGTTGATTCTGAGAATAGAAAACCAGAGGTGGTGGTTAATGCAGATACAGAATAACCAGTCTGCAGCCATGAAGTACCTCACAAGCATTTCTACCTACACCAGCATTATGTACCTGCTAGGCAGGTACTCACAGTGCAGGGACCACAACAGACCCTTAATACAACTGTAGATCACTAAAGAAGAAGTACCTGAATTCATTTCCATCCTTAATCATCTTGCAGCTTTGACTTAAAACTTTTATCTCAGACTGCTGGTAACTTTTTACAGCACAAACATAAAGTAGTTCTCAAAATTCTAAAAACATCACATAGAAAGACAAGGTATCAAGTTATTTTAAAGTTTCTGACTTTTACACATGCAGATGAAAGTAAATATACCGTGACATTTTAGGACAAAGACTGAATGGCTGAACTCATTTAAAGTAGGAAATGACAATCCGGCTGTGAAGTGTGAAACTATAATGGAAAAATAATTGAAGGATTATAACTGGTTGAAAGAAACATTTTCTTGGAGAGAATGAAACTCCTGTTTTATGGGGAAAAAAAAAAAAAAGAAAAAGAAAATCAGAGTAAAACCAGACAATAGCCTGCAGTGAGAAGTATACAAAATGTCCTTTTGAACATTTGTATCCTGTTGGACATTCTATCCAATTTTGTCCAACTTCCAACTGCACACAGGTACTTGGAAATAACTCCAGTGGAGAAACGCTGGAAAAGTTGCAAGAAAAAAACCTCAGAGCATCTGCACCTATTTTTCTGGTAGTGTTCAAGTCATTCTTAAAACTGTCAACTATGCATTTCAACAAAACCAGCAAGTGAATTAACTGCAATCTGCACAGATGGTAAAGTCCTACAAGGTGTCAAGAGAGACATTCAAAGATACACACTGTTAAGTGGCCAGAAAAAAGGGAGTAAAAATGAATCAAAACATGTAAGAAAACTAAAGGAGGAGAAACTGCTGTACTGCTAACTCATAAATTTACTGCAAGGATTTGCAGTAAGTATAAAGCTTCACCACCCCACTTGACTGGAGATGATTCACAACTTACAGTTTTCAACAGAAGTTAACGTATTCAAATGTTCTCACATTTCAAGATTTGTGGAAATTGCTCTCTTAAATACAGGTACCCATACATACAACCACGTGTTAAGGAAAACAAGGCTAACGAAATAAATATTCTGCAGTAAGTGGAAAAAACTAGTTTTATTTATAAAATAATTTTTTTTTGCAAAGTTGGTTATTGGAATGCCTTGTATCTCAGTCAAAAAAAAAAAAAAAAAAAAAACGATACATACAGCAGCTGGCTCTTAATTACTAGGTCATAATTTAGAGCATTTACAATAACACAGAATGAATACACTGGACTCTAATTACACATAGTGCATAGCACAGTCACACTGAATTGCATAACTGTTTATTTTGTGATTTTGCTGCTCCTTTTCAAAGCACTGCAGTTGTGGTCACTCTACAGATCACTCCTATTCCTCTACTCACTATGGGTCTTTCAACCCAGATGCAATTTCATTCATTTCCTACATTCCAATCCCACATTTTCCTGCCATATTAGCATCTGTGTATAAGGTTGAATCCTAGACTGCAGCATCACAAGCTTCACCCTTCAATGCCCATCTTTTTTTTTATTGTCTCACTTAGTGGCCCTGGGAGCCTTCCTAACAGTTTTAATTTATATTAAACTTTGACCTAAGTTAGTCTCTTCTTTAATACAAAGTTCTACTTGCTGTTTTTGTGCACCACAGGTAACCCAATGCCTCCTTTTACACACCCTGTATGGGCTAATGCATTTGTGCTTCACATTTGGGATTTAGTCAATGCCAAACATCAGAAACCACGTGTTTTTCAGGTTTTATGTAAGTAGCACTAGCACTAAAACCATCCAAAAAACATATTCCACTTTATGATAATTAAGAATATACTTTTAATTCAGTAAAGTGTCCATACTGTGCTCACACACTCAAAGGGAACCTCTCTCAACCCCTTGCAGCTGCAGTTTGCAATCACAGTATTGTAGGGTTGGAAGTGACTTCTGGAGATCATCCAGTCCAACCTCCTGCTAAAGCAGGTTCCCTAGACTGGGTTACCCAGGAAAGCATCCAGGCACTCCAAAGGAGGAGACTCCAGAGCCCATCTAGGCAGCCTGTTCCAGCGCCCTGCCACCTTGAAAGTTAAGAAGTTTCTTCTCATGTTCAGACGGAAATTCCTGTGTTCCATTTTGTGCCCATTGCCCCCTGTCCTGCTGTTGGGCACTGCCAAAAAAAAAAGTGCGACCCCATCCACTTGACTCCCACCCTTTAGATATTTATAAGCACTGATAAGTTCTCCCTTACTCATTCTCCTCTCCGGACTGAACAGCCCCAGGTCTCTCAGCCTTTTCTTCATAAGGGAGATGGATGCTCCAGGCCTATCATCATCTCTGTGACCCTCCATTGGACTCTCAAGAAGTTCCCTGTCCTTGTACTGGGGAGTTCAGAACTGGATCCAGAACTCCACATAACATCAGGGGGGGCAGTTTGGAGGTGCTTACCCAACTGATCCGACCGAAGGCCTGCCCATGGGGACTTCTGCTCTTGGGATGGGCTACACAGCTCGGGGGTTTTCCACCTGAAGTTTCTCTTATATTCGCTCAAGCCCTGCAGCAAAGAGAGAGATGCCTGTCAAGCAACTGACGGAGGTCCAGCTCCTCTACAGCTACAGGTAACTCATCGCCAAGGGGAAATACAGAAAGCCGCTGCAGGATCCTCTTAAACTCAGAAGGTGCTCTTCATCCTCAAAACCAAATCCCACTCAAGAGCATAAACCAACGTATTAGTCTCCAAATAGCAGAAGAAGAAAAAAAAAAAAAAGCAAAAAAGAGCACACAAAATATTTAAACAGAGCTTTAAAAGACCTCTTCCGTGAGCACGACTGAGCTCTGCCTGTTTCCCCTACGAGCTCCTCAGCACAAGGGTCTCCCACCCCCGCAAAGCCAGCGGCACCCGCGATCAGCCGCGGCCGCGCTCCCCGCCACGCCGGAACCGCTGCCGCCGCCTCCACCCGCCCAACGCCCCTCAGGCCCGGCTCGGGCCGGCCCGGTTCAGTTCGGGCCGGCCAACCCGCACTCCCCGCCGGGCCCCGGGGCCTCACCCTGAAGCGCACCGGCATGGCGGCCCACAAGGCGCAGGCCCGCGGCCCTCAGCACCGCCGTTCCCTTGGCAAAGCCAAGGCCCGAGCGAGCCTGCGCGGCGCTGCGCTGCGGGGCGGGCCCCGCCGCCTCCCTCACGGCGCTGCTGGCGGGGCCGTGTTCGCAGCGTTCTCGGCAGTCCGGCTTCGCTGTCCCCTCAGCCGGGCTCCTCATCCGCCTCCTCGGGCTGATCCTCCCGCGGGGACCCTCAGCCCCTGTTAGAGTGCATGGAGTTAAAAAAAAACAAACAGAGAGGGTGTTTAGAAAAGAAAAAATAAAGTTATGATTTATTTATTGATCAAATTTGAGATTCTTAGGATCACTGAAGAAACCAGTTGCTGTGTTATGGCAGTGAGTTGTGATGTTTGCTCAGGTCTAGTTCAGTACCTTTCTGTAGTAACACAGAGTTGTTACAGACCATGCAAAGCCAGCTGGCGTGCTCCTTGTTCAGTACACAGGTTGCAGGTTTGCCTGGAATCTCTCAGCTTTGATATGCGAGGCCAAAGATAATTTCAGTGTATTTTTGGAGTGTTTTGCAATTAGCCAAACGATGATGTTTGTAGATGGTTTGGAGCTGTCTGCTTTCAGAGGTTGATTCTGTAATGCAAATACATAACGTGACACCACTCTATCCTGAAATACCAGGTATTGTATTTCTTAACTGTGTCTTCCCTATTTTCATAAAATAAAGCAAAATAAATTATCCTGAATCAGTGGAATACATATTCCTCTGTATGCACTGATTGCCTAAAATTGTATTTTAACTCTCCTCCTTTCAGCTAAGAATTGTCACTACCTGATGTGAGGAAGCTGGGATCCTTACCTGATGCTTCTTACCATGCTGACACATATTAGCTACTTTGAATTCAGTGCATATACATTAATTAATTCACAGTTGTTTAAGGTTATATAATGTAAGAATGCTAAAATGCTTAAGCAGGTAAGAATATTGTCATGTGTGCTGAATAAATAATGCAATCGTCAAAATGAATCCATGTGTAGAAAAAGTCACAACATACTCACAAACTTATGGCACAGAAAAGAAGGAAAATACTGTGTCTGAAAACCTATGAAGAGGTTTCTGGAAAATAAATGAGCTGAGACTGATGTAAATGCACATCCCTTGGTAATTGGTCTCTGTTATTTATTGAATCCCATTGTTAAAAAAATAGCATTAAAACTAGTGTTTCCATACAACACATTCAAGTAGTTTTCAGTGCAATTCAAGTCACTTCAGATTTCCTCAACACTTGGGAGGATGACCATCATCCTCCTTTGTTTCCTATGAAGCAAATATCAGTATTTCATCTTGCCTTAAGTGATTTTCATTTCAGATTTTGATGTTATTGCTGTTCTTCAAATGAATTAACAGATGTATTTTCACATTCTAAATCACACGATTCTCTTTTTTTTACGTGCAATTTCAAACAGATAATTTATGACTCATATATTTTTATTTTCAATTTGATTGCTTGCCCATTTGCTTCATTATCCCCTAAGCATGTCACGATCTTTATCTTTGACCTTCTCTGGGTCTCTTGGTTTCAGCAGTCTTGAGTTTTGAATTCAAGTGCATGATTGAATTAGATTTTCCCTGAGCACCTTTCACTTGAACGTTAGCCTGTGAATAGTTCTCTATTCCATCTAAGTAAATGGAGACCTCCTTATGACCTGTTGCTCATGCTCCTTGCAAACCTCTATACTACAAGCAACGCCTTAAAGAATCAGTAACCAGTAATCAGTCTTTTTCTTTTCTTTTGCTTTAGCACTGATGGTCTGTCCTGCCAAAACACAACATACAGTATGTCAGAAATCCTCCCTCCAGCCAAGGGTGGCTAGACACAGCTTGCTGTGGAGCCCATCAACTCTGTGTGTCAGCCCCGGGGAATCAAATGAGAGCAGTGAAACGTGTTCTCTACCTCCAGTGTCTGTAGCCTCTGGCACCTACTGGTACATGAGTAAAGAAGGAAAGCACAGCTGGCCTGCCTCAAGTCCCATAGTTTTACTCTTAATAGCAAATATTTCTAGTGCAAACTTGTTCCAGCTTATTTTACAACTCATTTAGAAACTGTAGTGTCAAAACTACTCTAACTTTACTACTCATTTCAATCCTATTTTCAACTCACAGAGCTGATCCAGCTGTTGTTAAAGGGCAGCACTGTTTTTGCTTGCAAGGATCTGAATTCAAAGATATCCTGGCTTTGTGCCACAGTAATAGTTCTTGGGCTTGGCAAATACATCAGATGTTACCTTAAACTGGCCTGTCAGTTGGATACAATTTCATTCTGAATTGCTGAAAAGCCTACATATTTCACCATCCTAACAGAAAAAGAAGTAAGAAAATATAAAATGTGGACAGAAGGTTCATCTCTCTGCCCACTATCCACTTTTTTTTTTTTGTACGCTGTGAGCTCTCTTAGGACAAATCACTGTCAAAAGTGACTGCTGCCTTTGAGAACTTCATTTCTTAGCCACTTGAGGCCAGGCACATGCTGCAGCACTTCTATAACCAAGAGCTACCAGCCTGCATGTCAGCACTGGGTGATCCTGAAACTCTGATCAGATCCCTTCCGAAATCAGCATCCTTGGGCTTTCTGAAATTCTCCCTTCTCTTAAGGGAGAACAACATGAGATTTGTAGCCATGGTTTGACATTTGCTAATTGTGAGATTGTTTTGATTATAAAAGCACAAGATTTTTAAGAAGGATAGAGGCTCAGAAGCAGAACAATCTCAAATGTGTTGCTGATGCAAGGGTGACAATAGTTAACTTCATTTCTTGCTTCAGAAGAAAGAGCAAAGTAGTAAGGCGTGTGTCATTTTGATCTAATTTTGTTCTATCATTTGCCTTAGAGCAGAATAAAACCACAGCTGCTTATCCTCTAGTGAAGAAGCGTATACCCAACTTATAGCTGTAAACAAGTGATCTCTATTTCTATAGGAAGCTTTGTCGTATTTTTGTGGCTGCACACACTCAATCATTCCCAGTCTACGTGACTGTTCATAATGCAGTAATAATCTCCTTTCTGTTTTAAAAGTGCCTAAGATTTACACACCACAGTAGCAAAACTGTGCAGTGCTGGCATGAATAATGTGTTATGACAACCCCTCGGGGAGTAACTCCTGTTGGCAGTGTGTGTGTAATCCCTGGATGGCCTGATGCACTGGTAACGGCCCCGTAACAATGGGAACACAAGCGTGGCCTCGAGTTTCTCAGGCCTGGGCTTGGTGGACTCAGCTGGGTTGGCAAGGTAATGCAATTCAGTCTCAAAGGGGAAGAAGAAGTGGCTAATTGTCACTGCAGAGGGCCATCTGCTAGGTGACCAAAACTATCTGACATATTAAGAAAAAGTTTTATAAAAGACTTGCTGAACTTTCTGTATAATGAAATTTTGTCATTTCTCCATTGGCTCTGTATGCTCTCTGTAACAATAATCTGCTGTCATACTATTGGCACTATGTACAAGTACTAATAACAAAATCCCTTCCATGGCACTAACTTCAACAGCCACATAAGAGTTTAAAAAGGAAAGCTCATTAGGGGAGTGGAAATTAACCAAACTGTACAGAGGACATTGCCCTTTATTTTTTGGAATCTAAATGTACAGCTGTGCCTCTCCCCAGATACCCCACTGGTGTCCTTCAGGAAATGGAATGATGAGTCTATTCTAACACCTCAGAGGACAGTGTGAAAGTGTTCAAACTCTGATTTTGTATATCTAAATCAACACAGAGGCAAATATTTTTCATCTGGCAGCACCAGGACAAAGAAACTTGTACAAACTGTTCTTGCTTTGGTGGTAACCATCTATCAGTGCAATTTGCCAGTGGCATCATGTGTGCTAAAATCTGCATCTTATCTGTTATCTATAAAATAATGATAATGAATAGAGATAATGTTCTGAGTAAAATGTACATAGAACTGTTTTTTATAATGTAAATATTGAAAGAGATGGCACTAATAGCTTGAAATACATTGTACCAGTAGTTTTAACTGTGTTTTTGCAGCCCAGACTAAGAGCTGCTGATGCTAGCCGTGGCCACCACTACTGCTGCTAGCAGTTGTCTCTGCCACCAGTGTCCCTGCCCATGGTGGTACCTGGCTTTAAAAGTTTGTAAAAGTCCGATTTATAAGCTTGTTTCCCATCAGAGAGCATACAAAGTGACTAGGGCATCTGAAAAAGCCCAGTTCTAGCTGCCTTCCAAAATCAATTCAAACCTGCAAGTAGCAAGGATCTTGTAGATCTGGGCTAGCACAAACCTGAACAGCTCTTTGTTTGCGCCAGGTACACGCAGGAGGTCGTGTAAATGTCTCAGCTTTATTTAGCTATTGAAAAGAATCTGGTTTACTGTGTGCCTGTTGTTGATGGGTTGTTCACAAGGTCAAGAGCTTTTGAACTCTACATAAGCTTTCCATTTCTGCAGCTCAGCATTTCAGTTGGGATTAAGTTAGGCAACACATAAGAATGTTTTAGGGCACTTAATACAGCAGGTACAAAACACTGCAGGTGCAAAGTGCTGCAAGGGATTCAGTGGCGCTAAAAAAAAATCTGTGCTTGTATTGGTTTGAGTATATTCTGCACATAGCACTCCAGTTTTATGTCTGATTAGGTATTGTCAGCTCCCTGCAGACCATGTAAAGTATAAATACCATGTTGTGTACTCTGGATAATTCAGCAGCAGCACAAGCATGTGCTCTTGCCCAGTCCTGGACTGCTAGGTGATAACAGTACCGCGCTAATCAAATCTTAATGGTCTTGTCAGTATGTCCTCCCTAAAAATGAGTTTTCTTAATTGTCTCAGCCGCTCTTCTGCCTGGCACACACGAGAGCACAAAGAAATTGAATATTTACCAGTGCAACTGTATTCTACCTCCTGCCTTGCCTGGAGCCCCCCAGGACACCATTCTAATAGAGTTCTGTGTAAACTGCATTTGGCAGAAATCCTAAAGTACCTTCAGAGGCAGACATGACATCACTGTGACATGTCATCTTGAATTTCTTAACTAAATTATTTCTTCAAGATGAGGGTGTTCCTGGAGCGCCTCATCCATGATGGTAGCATCCCCAGGCCCTGAGAGTTTG